TCAAGATCTTCCTTTGTTAGTTTTTCCTCACCTAGTCAGTATGTTTCCCACATGTCATTTTGGAATTTACTCCATGATGACTTGGCTCTTCTAATCAACCCACTAACTTCCTCCTTCAAATCTATATGAATATTCTTTATAATCTCGCTCAACATATGCTTCTCATTCCACTTGTAATGAGACACTATCTGTCTAAACTTATCGAGGAAGTCGGAAACATGATAACCCATGAAAAATTCGATATCAATCATTGGGTAGGTTTACTCGCTCCCAATCTCGGAGATCAAGCAATTAGGCGAGTTTCTCGACCTCGATCGTCCTTTGCGAACTATCCATCTTGAGATCTCTCGACCCCATTACCTGTTGAACAAACAACTAGAGGTTTTAGGGTCGGAACTCGAAAGGAATCACGTAACTAAGCAAATAAAAATTATAAAATATACCGCACTAAAACACCCCAACACTCATCATGTGAGCGTGCATGAGAACCCATTCAGAACGACAACGATATCAAAGAGAGTCTACAAACGAATACTCACTCATGCTTACACGAATCCCAACTAATATAATATTACAAATATATATTGATAAATATACTTGACTTTTAAAACATGGTTCAAACAGCAATTTGAAACAAATACCACTTTCACATCAAAGAAGGATACGGCATATACAAACCATGTAAACAAAAACTCCAATCATAAATCCAAAGCGTGATACAATCCTAGGTAAATAGCACGAACTCACAATAATAGTTGACATCATGATAAACGCAAAATGTTTGCTAGAAATGTGATAGAATGACACAACCTGCTTTAGGAAAACTAAACAAAATATTTGCCTATCTGTCAATTCTGCGACAATAATGCAAAATAAAACTTTCAAGGATATATTGTTGGCTCTATAAGACAAAAATAAAACTACCAATGAGTAAATAACATAATACAGTTGTTACTCCTTCAACTCTTAAGTGAAGCATATAATGTTGAGGGGTGGTGTAATCGTTTTGGGATAACATCTTGACTCTTGAGCCCCACTCTAAAGATCAAACCTGACCGCAACTCCCTCCGATTTCGGTGCTTGCACCTTACCGAATCTATCACGGTCAGCTGGACAACCTCATTCATACCTATTAAAGCAACGAATAACGAATCCACACTCTTACAAATATGGTGACCCTATTAACACGAGACGAGTATGAGTTGCTACTCCAGAACTGTCTCTACTAAGAAGTAGTTGCCCCACTTCGCTATTAATGTTTAAGGAAGGTAACAAACCCCTTCCTCCTCTTTTACCTGATAATATAGTTACTTTCCTATTCAGAGGAAATGTAACGATACCCCACTAATGAATCAGGAACATAGTTCCGACATGGGTCTCACTACCATTGTCAAAATTGATAACTGCCTCCTTAAGCTTCAACGATGGACTAACAATCAAGAATGCACTTCCATTGGAAACAAGCTACACATACTGACTCCCTTCACCTTCCATAGAAGGAAGTCACCCCATTTACGTCCAGTCCCATGTTGAACGTGGGTTTCACGCAAATTCTATGTCATCTTGAATGGAAGGCAATCCATACGTGCATTGCCAATAAGTTATTAGACAAACCACACTACGAGCACATAAAAAATAAAAAAGACAGATATGAATAATGTATATATATATGTATATATATGTATATATATGTATATATATATTTATATATGTATGCTTAAAACAAAGACTTAACTTCGGATCACCCAAATCTCCAACCGAGTAACCTTCACCGCTTAACCGTATCCGTAGATGTCACTCAACAACTCACAAATGGCTCAAACCCATTATTTACAGACATCACCACCGGTTCTCTCTCGAGAGCCTTTGCAGTGCTTGTTACAATACTTATCACACCACACGCTCAACCCTAAGCATATGGACCTACGTGTGCTCCAGAGTCCAACTTGCCAAGGTCGTATAACCTAATTAAAAAAACAAGCCATGTATTAAACCCTTTTAATTCACTTTCATCAGTCATCCCACCTCCTATCCATATCGCTCGCTTAATGAAAACCTTCGCTAAAGCGATAGTCTACTAACTCCCGTTTTCCCCTGAACATAACGCATATGCGTTGTATTGAAGTTTTTCAAAAAAATGAGTTTTTTGAAAGTTAGACCCTTTACTTCGAATAGAACGACACTTCGAATATTACACATACGCGTTCTATTCGAATAATACGCATATGTGTTCTATTCGAATAATATGTATATGAATTCTATTTCAATTTCACGAAGAAAAAATTGTTGTATTCGAATATAACCTTTTTTTTTTTTTGCCCGAAGGTCAACGCTTGCTCCGTTTTTTCCTTGGTGAATGGGGCAGGCCCGTGTAGGTCCGTAATCACAGATCACTGCCCGTGCTCTCTCTCTCTCTCTCTCTCTCTCTCTCTCTCTCTCTCTCTCTCTCT